TTAGTAAATTCGTTTTTTTTTTTTTGTAATTTGTAATTTTTATTCATTTTTTATGCAGATATAGTTTTTAGTCACAAAATAAAACACAAAGAAGCAAACCTAGAATGTTTTAAATCACATTTTTAGTAAGTTTTAGTAATTTTTCTTATTTATATTAATATACACATAAATTATAGTTATTAGTTATAATTATAGTATTATTATTTTTTAACAAATCGTTGCTCAAATTGTGCAGCCTTACAAACACATCATTCCTGGATTTTTTTAAATCACATTTTAAATCGGAATCACAATTTTTTTGTATAAATAGTTTTTAATCACAAAATTTTGGCCAGCCCTACAATCAAGCACAGCAAACATGGATGTTTTTAAATGATTAAATCACATTTTAAATTGTGATGATTTTTATCAGAAAAAATGCAATTATATATTTTAGTTACAGTTTTAGCCATTTTATTGTATATTTTTGTCATTATTTTCAAATGTTTAATATAATTTATTAGTTTTAGTTTATTCTGTTTTAGTACCTCAAGGTGAACTAAATAAAAATGGAAGATGATAAATGTTGTCTTGGCAATAGCTGAAATGAAATATTGTTTTTTTTATATATATTTTATTTTATTTCAATGAACGTTGATTTTATTTCAAGTAAGAAAAATGTTTTTTATGGTTTTAGTTTTAGTTACCTATAATGACTGTGGCTTGTTTGTGTGTACGCCAGGTTCCTGTCCTTTGTGAGTCCGCACACAGAGACGCCTGTGGTGGCCTGTGCTGTATCAGGCTCTCTGGCTGCTCTGTTGGCTCTCCTGGTGAGTCTGAGGGACCTGATCGAGATGATGTCCATCGGCACACTGCTGGCCTACACACTGGTGTCGGTATGTGTGCTGCTTCTGCGATATCAGCCCGACAGAGACGGCTTCACCAGTTTCCTTACTGAGGAGGAAGAGGAGGAGCGGAAGAGGAAGGAGGAAATGATGGCAGCTAGTGAGAAGGACATGAACTCACCTGGTGGAGAAGAGTACGCCGACAACCCCTGTGGGGCCAAGAACCTCCCCTCCAAAGGAGACGACGAAACTCTGATTGAAAAGTCGGACTCTGGAGGTTACCAGTTGGATAGTTCCGGCTACGGCGTTGGAGATAACGGCACTGAGGTGGACGACTCCAATAGTCTCTTGAAACGCATTTTGGGGTCTCATTATTACACTATACGGATGCGTTTGGGCCTGCCAAACTTTGGCGATAGGCCCACACCTGCAACAGGACGCACTGTTACTTCCTGTGTCCTCCTTTTCTTCATCTTGACCTTCTTTCTCTGGACGCTTGTCATCTATGGCTTCGATCATGTCTCAGGAGGAGCTCGCTGGGCAATATTACCTTTTATAATGACTGTGATTGTCCTCATGGTTACTTTGGTTATTATTATTCTCCGGCAGCCTGAGAACCCTAAAAAGCTGCCCTACATGGCGCCCTGTGTGCCCTTTGTGCCCACCGCTGCCATGCTGGTGAACATTTACCTCATGCTCAAACTCTCCAGCATCACCTGGGTGCGCTTTGTGGTGTGGTGCGCACTAGGTAAGCCAGATCTTCTCTTATGTACGCTAGACATTAGGGCTCCACGAATAATCGGAATAAAACTTGTTATAACTTAGTATGATTATTAAATTGCAAAGGCTGCGATTAAATTAAATAAATATACGCGCATGTTGCATGTTAAGCACAGAACTGTTCTTACACGAGAGCAGCTCATTATTTACTTATCATCAACAAAAACGAAGGTCTGATCTATAATTTAACATTTGAAAATGAAGAAATTAAGACTCAATTATAATTTTCTTCTTTTTCTACTATATTATACAATGAAATATAACAATAGTAAAATTATTTTTTTCTTTTCTTTTTTTACATTTTGATTTTAAATATATTTTTTAAATAAAATATTAAATAATGTGAAATAATATTTTGTGATTTAGTAGTAGTAGTAATTTTTATTATCATTATTATTGCTAAATCATAAAATATTATTTAATATCATTTTATATTATTTAAATAAATCAAATAATTTTATTACATTTTTCAAATTACATTTTACAGTGAAACCTTACAATAGTAATATTTCTTTTGGTTTTTGTTGTTGTTGATTTTATTTGGATTATAAATAAATGATTTAAAATTATTATTTAAAAATAATTTAATGTATTATTTAAAGTAAAATTATTTTTTTCTTTTCTTTTTTTACATTTTGATTTTAAATATATTTTTTAAATAAAATATTAAATAATGTGAAATAATATTTTGTGATTTAGTAGTAGTAGTAATTTTTATTATCATTATTATTGCTAAATCATAAAATATTATTTAATATCATTTTATATTATTTAAATAAATCAAATAATTTTATTACATTTTTCAAATTACATTTTACAGTGAAACCTTACAATAGTAATATTTCTTTTGGTTTTTGTTGTTGTTGATTTTATTTGGATTATAAATAAATGATTTAAAATTATTATTTAAAAATAATTTAATGTATTATTTAAAAAACTTATTTATAATAATAAAAATGAAAATATCACTACTGTAATATTTCACTGTAAAATAAGGTATTTTTTTTTACATATATTATTTCTATATTATGTATTTACAATATTCTTTACATATTATTTACAATTAATATTTATATATATTTACATGTATTATGTACAGTTATTTACAGTATTATTTTTGCAATATTAAATTATTTACTTGTTATTTAAATATTTATAATATTATAATTACAAAATAAGAAATATGACTATTGTGATATTTCACTGTAAAATAAGTATACTCTATAATACTCCATACATAACCTCAAAAATGTAGATTTTTTTTTGGCGTTTATTACCTTTACTTTGATAGGCCAGTCGATAGACAGGAAGTGAAGTGGGAGAGAGAGAGGGGGCAGGATCGGAAAAGGTCCATGAGCCGGGACTCAAACTTGGGACGGCTGAAGCGCAGCGGTGCTATATGTCGGTGCACTGCCCGTGAGGCTATCGGCACCACAAAAAAAGTTTTTTTAATATTGCATTTGAAATCACAATCACAATTTTTATCAGCAAATCATGCAGCTCTACTCCATATATTCCCAATCTTCTGTAAAGGCCCATTTACTCCAAGAATGATAACTATAGCGATGACTAAATTAGCTGCACGCTGCAGTTCTGAAAGTGATTCCAAAGATATTCCTTTATGTTGTTAATGTTATAGTCATGGTGTGCACTTCCCTGTTCTCATAGAATTAGAATGATCATCCTTGGTGTGAATGGGCCTTAACTGACCCCATCTCTTCATCCTACAGGTGTGCTGATCTATTTTAGCTACGGGATGTGGAACAGCTCACTGGAACTCAGCGCTAGAGAGGAAGCGGCTCATGCCAGCTCCTACCAGAGGTATGACACGGAGGTGGACGACAGCTTCAATGTCGATGAAGACCTCCCTCCTCAGGAGGACGAAGAGGACGGACAGTACCAGGGCTGGGCGGCTGAGGAGCATGGCTATCAGAAACACTACCAGCAGCACTATGATGAACAGAGACCATCCAACAGTCACAATTACAGAAGCAAAGGCAGGACCAATAAAGGCTTTGAGGAGCTGGTCAATGAAGAGTATTCACCTGAGTGAGCAATATACACTAAACTACTGTCGCAGTGGAGGTTGGATTTGGGTGACCATGATTTTGGCAAATAGAATATGTTCCTAGGTCAATGCCACAATACTGTAATAAGTAATGAAGACAAAAGGAAAATGTGCATTATGACGATAAATTAGACAATTTTAATGAAAACATACTGTTGGTAATATATGTTTAAAGTCAGAATGAAACGGAAGCGACATATAGTGATACATATCCGAGTGAACGGAAGATCATGTTACGAAATTTGAGTAAAAAGGTTAAAAAAAAAAGAAGTTTACAAGAAGATCATTAAGATGCATTTATAAAACATGAATTTTCATTTCATGCTTACTTTAAAATAATTTCTTTTTAAATTTATATTCATATTATTTAATTTATATGATAAATTAGTGACATGGCAATATGAATTTAAACAATATTTTTTGTCAAAAGACAAAAACTAAACAAATCCATTATTAAAATCAATACTTTTATGTTGATTAGGATCTCATGAGACCAAATGGGTAGTTAATGGTTAATGTTAATATGTGCTTGTTTGAGAGGAACAGTCCAGGAACACATTCTACTTGACAAAATCATGTTTCTCTAATTATTAAAACATTTTGTGTGTATTTCTTAGTGAACTTAAAAATATTTGTTCTTGAACAGGTACTTGTTAAAATGCATTTGCACCTTGAGACAGATAAGCGATTATCTAGAGGGATGTTTAGACCCGTTTTTTTTAATGGAGGCTTCATAAGTGCCTTTAAATAGCCCCTCCTTAATGTTATTCTACTTAAATCAAATATATGCTTACTTAGATATTGAACAGAATTAGTATTTCTTTCTCATGTGAGCTGCTGTTAGTGTTGGTTTTAAATTCACTTTTTTATTATACGTAGATCCTAAAAGCAATGCCTTTGTCTTCTCCATATAAAAACTCAGGATGACTCTTTAAAGCAAAAACTGATGCAAGTTGTCACTACATGAGCAGAAACCCTCTGTAGATGCATTGAGTGGACTTTTCACCTTACATCGTCTCCACATCTGTGTTTGATCTAAAATCTCAAGCTCTCCCTTGAATTTCAAGGGGAAATATTATGATTGGCTCCCTGTGAAAGCTTAATAGTTCTCTAAATATTTTGCGACATTGATATCAAATTCTTTCTATGCTGGTTTGTAGAAATGTCTTACTCTTGTGGTTTAGGTTTGCACGAGGATATTTACATTTCTTCCCTACAGCTGTGTGTAAAATCACTCGGATTTTAGAGTTACATGTTTAAAAGAATCTACAAATATATTTAAAATGAAATATTAAAATGAATATATTTTACAAACACAAATGGTGTCTTTTTTTGTGTCATCAGCTATAAAAATATTTTGCGAGTTCATGTTTTCATTTACACATTACATTTGTGTAACATGAGATGGCATGACAATTTGAACAAGCAATATGCATAAATAACAGTGGACGGTAGATTTATGTCTTCAAACCCCCAAACAGAGCATAAAATAATACATTACCCCAATAAATCAATCACCAACCATATGAGACCAGAAAAATGACCGGTTATCCTCTTACAGATATTTTTTCTCAAATTTCAAATGCTGATTTCCTAGGAGGTTGTGTGCAGGAAGCTGTGAGGAGATCAGGAAAACAGTGCAGATGACATCTGGTCATTTCCTGTTCGTCTGTCTATCTGTCTGTCCGGGTGTGCATGCTTTCCTAAATGCTGGCATTAACTAATAAGCTTAAATGCACAACTTTTACACAAGTAAAAAAAAAAAAGTTAAAAAGAAAGTCACTGAAAAAATATAGGAGCGAAATGAATACTGTGTAAATACTTTGACTCACAAACGTCCATGAAAAAACATGCCTAGGGAATCAAGAACTGTTTCCCTTTGAATTCTTTTCAGTGTCTGTTCAAACAAAGCCTTTAATGTTCAACAGTTTCCACCGAATTCTCTGTCCCCGCCAAATCTTCACATGTTTGCAGTCAAACCATGGCAGTAGAAAACAAATTCTTCACATATTTGATTGGTGTGTGTTCAAATCTTGAGGTAAGGAGCCTGCGCTCTTATCCAGTGTGTCTTCACATTCACACATGTGCGCTCTTGGCATGGCTGTTAGTAGGAGGGCCGGAGTTGGTAACTCCGCTGTGTTTTGAGTAGTAGTAGCGGTTTTCGGGATTTTGACTTGGGCTGTCGCCCCTTGAGCAACAAATCATCACCGAGCTGCCAAAAAAACAAAGGGCTGAACCGACCCAGCCAGCATACAGGGAGAATCCGAACGACATCAGGCCGTCCTCGTGAAGCACTCCGATGGGGAACCACACCGTCGACACCATCCCACACAGAGCTGAAAACAAGAAGAAGGCCACTATAATGTAGTACCAGAATCATAGCAAACTGACTTGACTGCAATGGAGAAACGATTCTTGACAGAAGTCACCTTCAAATCAAGCAGGTTTCTGTGGGTCAATGTATCAAATTTGCTTGACCAATTGAACCTGATCTGAAATTTGCATGTGGAAAGCTTTCGCCCTCACATGAAATTCCAGAAAGCGTAGATTCTCATTGAAATTACTGCATTTTGCTGAACAACAGTAAATGTGACCACACTTTAGGACTGGACGTTTTATTTGTGTTGTTTACACTAAAGAACAAACTAGCCAAATCTAAACCAGCCACCTGTACAAATGGGTCAGACAGTTGACCATGACTGGCTCTTCCCACTCTAACAGGATGTAGGAAATCTCTGGATGTTTTACAGTTACTTCAGTCAAGGACATTTTCAGCCCTGTATGTTGAAAGCTTGACTTTAGAGAGGATATGAACAACCAGAGGACAACATCTAGCATTTTGCTTAGAACTGCAACATTTTCAACAATTGAACACATTTTTATTTTAGGTTCATGAGTAATATATCAATGGGTTCTTTGCAGGAAATGGTACCATGGCTGTTCTAGAAATGGTGCTCAGGTGTTATTGGTTAAATGGGTTTTTGTAAATACCAAGTTTGCTATGATGGGGTTGATTAAGTGTAGCACTTAACACTTAAAAAAAAAAAGGTTCCAAAATGGGTTTTTGCCTCGATGCCATATAGAACCATTTTTGGTTCCCCAAAGAACCTTTCAGTGAACAATTCTTCAAATAATTATTTCTTCTTAGTGTGCAGAACATTCATTCTGATGTTCAATCTGAAGCATGTTTTACCACAATAAAAACTTATGGAAATGTTCCATGTGTATTGAAGGTTCTTCATGAAACCATAGAAGAAAATAAAGAACCTTTATTTATAATAGTGTTAAGTGCTACTTTAAACTGTCAAATCCACAAATTTAGAATTGCGTAAAAAGTTTAAAGGACAGTTCACTTAAAAATTGAAATGACACATTTATTGAACATAATTCTTCTTGGCGCTTACATGAGAGTTCATGAGTGAAGTAGTGATACAAGTTGTTCTTGTGAGGTAGATCTTTTCAATGAATTGACTGATCCAAATCATAAATGTCCCTCAGGTTTACACACTGACTATATATCAACTTTTTCCTCTATTCGTCAAAAAAGTTATCCTATATGACTTCAGAAGACTTAAAATATAATGCACAAAACAACTTTTTTGATAATTTTATATTATTTAAAGGGGTCATATGACGTTGCTAAAAAGAACATTATGTTGTGTATTTGGTGTAATTAAATGTGTTTATGCGGTTTAAGGTTAAAAAAACCCATTATTTTCCAAATACTGTACATTATTGTTTCTCCTCTATGCCCCGCCTTTCTGAAACGCGTTGATTTTTACAAAGCTCATCGATCTGAAAAGTGAGGTGTACACTGATTGGCCAGCTATCCAGTGTGTTGTGATTGGCCGAATACCTCAAGCGTGAGACGGAAATGTTACGCCCCTCAC